GAGAGAGAGAGAGAAAGTGCGAAAGTATAAAACAGATATCAAGGGAGGAAGGAGAGTAAAGCCAGCGCACGGGCGAAAACGGTGAGGAAAGCGGCGAATTCATTGCCTACGGATGGCAGAGGGAACAAGCTGCTGGCAGAGGGAGCAGCCACGCTCCGCAAAGTTGCCTGGATACCGGGCAACACCGTGTTGCGCTCCGGTGAAGTAGGAGGCAGCAAAGGAGGCGGAGGTGGTGGTGTGCTGCTCCGCGAGAGGATGGAACGCGCGGTGGACTGTAGTGAGACGAGGAAGATGATCACCAGCCAGGCCGCGAACGCAGGTCCGTGGTGCTGCCAGGAGTCGCGATAGCACACCCGCGTCCCTCTCGAAGCTCGCCGAGAGAGAGAGAGAGAGAGAGAGAGAGAGAGAGAGAGAGAGAGAGAGAGAGAGAGAGAGAGAGAGAGAGAGAGAGAGAGAGAGAGAGAGAGAGAGAGAGAGAGAGAGAGAAAAGAAGGTGGAAAAGAGAGAGCATACATAGGTTGGCATTCTCGCGGCAGCGTGTTTGCGGCTTGAGAAGCCAATCGCGAAAAATAACCGCGGCGTCGTTTGCGGTGCTACAATTAGTTGTTGGATCCGTCAAGGTGTCGAATAGTGTCAACGAAATAGTTTCTACGCGTTCCCCTAGAGTTCTGGTATCGCGCGTGATCGTTTCGTGGTGGACCTGCGAATTCTCTTTTTGCATCGGGAAACATTTTTATTTTACAAGCCCACACACGGCCGGATATCGAACGTGTTTCTCTCGTCGTGTCTCTACGTTCGCTCGGTTCGCGCTCGCGGCCGGAAATTTCGATCGAATCAACGAGCAGTGGAGGGTGCGAGCAGAGTAACGAAGTGAGCCTCGGTGCCGGTCGAGAACGGGGTGAGAGTACTCGTAACGATGGACGCCGCCGCGTGGGGGAGAACGGGAGCATTCGGTATCGAGTGAGGAAGCGTCATATCGTGTAGTCACCACGGACACCTGTAAACCGGGCGCGGACTCTCGCAATTTTCTAGGCAAGATTTCCTTCGTCGTATTGATGAGAATTCGCGACGAGGCGAATACGCATCGAAATTCGAATTTACGACATACGTATATACGCATAATTGGTAAAAGATATTGCGTGAAAGGTGTAGTCTTACGTACATTCCCGTTTACTATTAACTAGCAGCGTCGCAGCGTCAAAACTCCACAGACGCATTTCCTGTGAGATTAAAACTCGCGCCATTGTTGCCTTTCTGAGGCACGCGAGACAATGGAAAAATTGCTACCTGTGTCGATAGGTAGAAACCACGGTAATGGCGTGCCATTTAATGCACACTCCCTCGTGAATCCGATAAATAGGTCATCGTAATACTCGTGATCAATGGCTGATCGGTTCCGTGGAAAAGGCTGCTAATTAATTTACGTATTTTTACGGCATAGTTCAGGGCACTTCTCTCACTGGTATAATTTGGTGATATTACATCGGTAAAATACATTCGCGAGAACAAAGACGAGTTATGCGTTTTCATGCGAGTTATGCATTATTGTATTTTCAAAGCGCGAAATAATAGATTATTAATTTTTATTTCTTTTTTTATTTTAAGCATTTTTATATTTCTTTAAACATAAAAATATTTCATTTTATTTAATAAAATGCTACAATATTCAGCGCTTTTAATGATATAAAATTATATAGGTTACAATATTTTGGGGAATTTCGTTTAAATTCAATATTGAATATAATTGAGTTCTTTATATTTTCTCGTGATAGAATTGATGAATTGTTCAACCGCAAAATGTTTTTGATCTACTTCGCAGAGATCGATTTATGAGTCTGCATATGCTATTGTTTCAATTATATTAATAATTCTTTCGGTTTCACCAAGAAGATGAAAAATTTATGATAACGGGGCTTGGCGAAACCGATCGTTTCCAGTCGCATCACGTTTTTCCAAGGGGAATTCAAGAAATCTCTTCTTGCTGATAGTGAAATAGTAAATCAACCGTTCGGCTTTTAAATCATCCAAAGTTTCGATGCCCGTAACCGATGCTCGCAACCGTTACATATCGGGAAGAAGTGTTACGATAAATGACAGTAATATTTAAATGAGTGTTATTTTACTATCTCGCAAAGAATAGTATCTGAACTACATAAATTTCTTGTGTAACTTAAACTTTGGATCTACGAGAGAAGAATGATCCAGATATTTTTATCAGAATTTTATTTTTATACATGTGTCATGTGAACATTTTAAACAGACTCGGTATTGTATTATAATTTTATTAAAAATCTTATTGAACATATGATTAGAGTGAACATTTCAGAATTGAAGTAAAACCTAAGAGTATCATGTTCTCGAAAATTTTTGGTAAAATTTTAGTAGCATTATAAATTATCTAAATACGATGTATCTTATAGAATAATTATATACTGACATAATTATATAACTGAAACAATTTCGCGTCCAATATAAATTTAATAATGCATGAGAGATATAGACAGGGAATTCAAGCTTATAATTAACGCATGATTAAGAAATCACAATAATTTATAATAGGCAAGTACGTGAGTACGCGCGTTGATAGTAAAAGTAATTTCGGCGAATTGAGGAGACGATAGAAATGCATGCCGCGAAACGACGCCGCGCGCGATGGGAAGTGGCCGCGAAGGGGTCGTTCACACCTATGAAATCATTATTTTCAGGATCCCACGCAAGAATGTTCGAAACGCTGGGAAGCATCGTCGCGCGAACGTAGCGCGTTCTCTCTACGAACGATAAAACGCCGCCACTCTTCAGCGATCGAGACTTCGCGAGTACACACGACCGAAGCGCGCGGAAGAACGCTTGGTTATGACGGCGAAGTCGGGGGGTGCGTTAGCGAGGGCATCGAGTATCGATTAGCGGACGATTCGCGCGGAATTGAACTCGACTCGTGACACCCTGCACGATGATGATAATTAGTGACGCAGCGGGCGACAAAGCGCTTCCGGGCGATACTCGCGGCGGTGACCGCTGCATGTAGAAGTGAACACGCAAAATTGTGCAGTGCATCACGGTTACGACGGGGCACGTCGGGACCGGATAGAAGAACATCGGCAAGTCGGTGTCACGCCTCGACCTGGACCTGCAAAATTCATCTGCCATGGCGCACCAGGCAAGAGGTCTACCGCAATTGCGAATAAAGTTTTATAATACGGTCGCCGCCAGTCTCCAAATAGTCCTCTTGCTCACCGTCCTACCTCAAGGTAAGCTCGCCGAGACGCACTTTCGATATTTTACGGTGAGATTGTACGACATTACTCGCGTTATGATTTTCTTTATCGCTCGTCTAAGCCGTTTCAGAAACGGAAGGGCACGAACGTATTTCTCTGAACGACTTGAAGGTATCGACGAGGGGGAGAGAGGGAACTATGTAACTCACAGCGATTCGAATAAAATTATTATATGTATTGATTGAAAGAAATAACATTACATTGATTAATATGAGACTGTATAAAAGTGTCTCAATTAAATTATAATATCAAAATTTGAAATATCATACAGTCATCACATAAATGTTAAGTAATAATAAGATTTTTTTATAATATAACAAAACGCATATCTATATTTATTTATCATTTGGGTATTTTTTAAACATAACATATTTAAATTTTTTTTGCTCAAACTATTTTATCTTCTTTACATGATAACAAAATTCAGAAAGCACTCGATTTATCTGTAATATATTTGACTATCGATTCATTTTAAACGAGACTATTTTATCATTGGTCTCCAAATTGTTGTAAAATTTGAAATAATTTTATTTGTTGAATCTTAAAACATTTCTATTTTAAAGAATGGCCACCATTATTTTCTAGCAAAAAATTTAAAACTAAATAAATGTTTGGAGATACGTTTAACCTGTGAATGTCTTTATTACTCTAATATACATAATTGCATAATTTTTCAATATGTGACAGTGTGTTATAATTTTTCATTAGAAATTTTGATATATTATTGATAAAATTATTATGAAATCAAGATGAAAATATAAGTATAACTTATCCTCGCCTATTAGTATTCAAGGACGCTTGCATTAAAGAGATTTCTGCACGCGGCGACTTCTATCAACCCATGTCACTTCGTCCGGTTATTCAGTTCTAATATAGAAATCCGAAAATAACTTTAGACAAGTACATAATTTAACGAACGACACTCCCTCGATTATATTATAACGTTGTCTTTGTCACAGACATTTCTAGTCGATCGACACGTTAAATACAAAAGAAATCATCAATATTACAATTACATCGATAAAGCTAATCCTGTCGAATATAATTATAATAAATCATAATTGTAATAAGTTATAAAAATCGTAATTAATAACAATAATGACTTGTGGATTGTTATCGACTCAAGTGTACCGATGTTGACTCAGACGATTGGCTTTAGATGACTTGAAAATTACGGCTGCAAAGTGAAATATGCCTCGTTCGTCATACATGCAGTTTACACACACACACACACACACGTGTGCGAAAAGTGCGCTGTTTATATGATTTACGCGTAACTAATTACGCTAAGAGCGCACACATATACACGCGTATAATAAATCGGTTCGTCAATCATAATTATGGATGACACGTTCGGTAACAGTGCAACGTATAATGGAATCACTGCAACCGCGGTGCGTTGCCGGGTGCGACCTGCCATCACGGTGCATCGGCGCCCGACCGCGACAAAACTGCATTTTGTTCGGTCAACGAAGTTTCGTAGCTGTACACGATACGACTCGGCCGGAATTAAATCGCACGATTTGAGAAAGTCCCTCGGAAAAACATCGACATGTCGCGAACAGCTATGGCGAAGTTTCAACATGGCCAGCGTTAGCTTCTCCTCGGACATTTTACGACGTTAATCTGCTCGGAAACAGGTTTTGATCAGGAGGAAACGAACTTGTTATGATTTTTGAGAAAAATTTCTCGTATTTACCGAAATTGATGGTGAAATTATAAGACGAGGACCAAATGATATAATCGGAGGAAAACGTCAGAAAATTCAATTTCTAATTAATATAATAAGTTTCCAAGGCATTTCTTTATTTGATGAAATTCCTATGATTTTACAATATTTGTACAAATCACTTTTTACTTTTTTAGCAAAAGAGAGAAGAAAAACAAAACTGCATTCGCATCTTTTAATGAAGTAATATATATTAATGTATATTTTAACGCTGGATCTTTTTTCTCTGATTCAGTCCGCAATCAAAAATACAACGAATACATTTAGAAAGTTAAACGTGACTTTACTCGAGCGAGAAAATATGCGAAATCATAAGTCAGGGGGAAATCAAGGGAATACCAAAGTTCCGCGATAAACATTCTGAAATATCGTGCGACGATTGAACTCGCGTGATCGTTCGGCAACACTAAAGTTAAACCGCCGGATTTAAACTCGGAATTTATTGGTTCGTTGAGACGGAGCAGCGACATTAATATCCCTTCATCGTCATCGCTCATGTGTTAAAGGTTGTCCGGCAAAAGCGATAAAATTCCAGTATAGAAATTCTCTCCCAATATTAAGCATTGCTTTCACACAAATTTTTGCGAGTAACATATATATCTTTTCTATCATTATTCTGTATGTTTTCAAATATTTTAATTTAAAATGTAAAATATTTCACCACTACTATATATCATTTGAATAATGCTGTTTGTTATTAATTAATTTTCACATATGCTGCATCAAATATAAAAAGAATGATTATTATAATATATATCGCAATCAACTATTCTATAAACTGTCACTGTTTTCATCAGCGATTTTTTTTTTATAACAAATAACGAAAAAATTTCTTCTATACTGTTGTTCGTTAGGCTGTGATTTTTATCAGTCGATCATTACTTTATTCTCATTCTCATTGCGTTGTGTCAGTCGTAAATCAATCAGTGCGGTAAGTGGAGAACGATGAGCAATTTCTCCTTTCTTACTCAACTTCCTCGGCGGCGCGTCCCGATTTAATTTCGATTCAGAATCTGTTAGCTTTAGCCTGATGCGCTGATGTAAAATTCATCGTCGTGTTTTTGGATGGATCTGGCCCACGACACATCTGTTTTCAACGGCGTGGCTCGCACATTTCTTTCGAGTGAGTCCGAGATTACGCGGCTCACAGTAATAAGTCATTCGATTTATCGCCGGTCCCGTGCGAAATATCTTCTCAGAGGGGCTAGATTTCAAGTCCCTGGACCTTTCCTCGTCCTCAACCTCGCCTACTCCCCCTGTCGTACTGATTGCCGATCGATCGTGAGTTATTCTCGGTCGAACGGGAAAAAGCCTCCCTGCGAAACTGCCGCGGGCACTGCGTATTTTTCTATGTTACATTTTACGGTAGCCGATGGCTGTTTCTCAATTACCGGAGTTCTGACGAGGAGCTCTCTGAAAATTCTCTCAGAGAGGTTGCTCTTCAAAATAGCGCACCGCGTTTCTTAGCGAGCAACACATCATTTATGTACAGAATCGTGTGTCGACTTTCTTTCTTTGCAATTAATCGCTAAATAGCAATCTTCCAAAATAAAATTCAAGATATTTTTTTATCTTTAAATCGATGGAAAGATGTTAATTGTTGTGTGTTATAATTTATAATTCGTAGCTTTTAGTTTGCTGCTTTTATGTTGCATAACATAGTTGTTGTTGGCTCGAATAATTTGAAGTACTTTATTTATGATCGAAAAATATATTGCATCTTGTATACTTTGCGCTGCGTGTGTTTATTTCACATACCACGCACGTGGCTTTGAAAAGCAATAAAGCATTAACATCGTTTGAACGTTTGATCGGTAGTAAAGTCGACAGTCCGTCAACTTTAACATCGATCGATTGACTATCAGACTAGAGCAGTAAGGCACCCTGTCAATGAAGTGACGGCGCATGAGCCGATCAAATGCAAATTTCTGATAAATGTTATTGCGTTAGATAGAAAAATAATATTAGAATAATAGATATTCTCATGTAAATTTACAGAGAAACCTATTAAATTGTGAAGATATGAAATCTTTGTCGAACTAAACGGAAAACTATAATTTATTAATGAAAACTATAATTTATTATTGATCAAGTTCTATTTTAACGCTTATTTAGTCAGAATAAAATATCTGTTCGATAAATAATTATTATAGCTTGCTTGCTTTTCATATAATAATTTTCCGCAGCTGCCTAAGCCTCACGTATCGTACTTTCTCGCGAAATATTTTTCCGGAAATAGTTAATACATCGATGAAGCAGCTTTGACTCTTCCGCGTTTGCTCATACAAAATATCTCGCTTCACAGTAATCAGTTTCGAAGTTCTGGCAAAGTAATCTGCGATCGATGCCCCAAAAAGGCATCGCGGATGGAAAAACGTCGAAGGGGGGGGGGAGGCGGAAGTCAGTCTTCGTTAAAATTTCAGAATGTTCCGCCGAGGATTACGCTTGCAGCGTGTTCGTTTAACGCGTCGGCTCGACGTTTTACTGTCACTGGTTGAGCACCACGGCTGTCGGATATCGAGATTTTTACATTGCGCGTATGGCGCCGCAACGGAGCAGAGACGCCTATAACGTTGATATCGATTCTCGAACTTGCAACCGCGCTATTTCTCGTACGCGCGAGCATACATGGGTATTAATCGAAGGAAATACTTTCGTCCCGTGATTTAGCTTTTTTTCGAGATTTATTTTTAAATCGACTAAACGGCAAGTTTCATACCGGCGGAATCAGCACAAATCCCGCGATGACAGCTATTGAAATCACATTACAATTGATAGGCGAAGCTGCATTGATTTAGCAGCAGAATTTAATTCGGCCATCTGTGAGATTTTCATGCGTATCGCTATGTTGGTCTATCTGATAATTAGAATCCGATCGTTGTGTTTTATAACGATTATAATTTGGTGTTTAACAAGGTAGTCCACATTGCGCATTTGTATAACTGCTAATGCTCTCATTATGGGCATAGTAAAAAATTGTAATTTTACTTGAAGCAGGCAATTGTCAATGAGCTTGACTGACACACTTTGATTTAATATAAAGATAAAAATAGTATTATCCGACATTATTATTCGCGTACAATAATATTATTTCAATATAGATTTACAGAAAACATTTTATGACTGAACATAAATATTATTAAGTTTCAACATAAAAATTATAACTATTAATAAAATCCGGTTATAAAATTTTTTAATGAATAAATTTATAATTATAAATGTACAAAGAACTATAAAATTGCAA